GGGCTGTTAGTTGGCCTGGTGCATTGCAGCCGCCGAGAGAGAAATACAAAGTCCATAAATATCAGGGACAGCTTAGCAAACAGAAACAAGGCCAGACATAAATCCCTGATACAGTCAGATAGACAAGCTGGATGTTGTTCTGAGTCTTCCATCTCAAAGAAGGTCAAGAAAATGAAGAAAGAGAACAGAAGCTCTCTTTCAGAGAGGACAAAGTCCTTCAATTGTTCACACTGAGAAAGCAGATTAATTATTATTATTGAAGGATGTCAAGGAAGTGACAAATGCATCACATTATAAGCCTCAAAGTCAAATAGAAATATTACATTGACCAGTAGATGCGATACTTACTGTATATACTCGAGTATAAGCCTAGTTTTTCAGCCCCTTTTTTAAGGTTGAAAAGGCCCCCAACCTTTCAAAGGTTATTTATTATTTTGCTCTATCATTATTATTTCTATTACATTTATTATTTTATTCATTATTATTATTATTACATTTATCATTTTACTCTATTATTATTATACTTTATTATTGTTATTACATTTATTATTTTACTCTATTCGTTATTGTTATTATTACATTTCCATTATTTCATTGTATTATTATTGTTATTATTACATTTATTATTTTACTCTATTATTATTGGAAGGATATGTAAGCACATTTACATTGAAGAAGGCTAGGATAATGGTTTAATCAGAGCTGGACAGTCTTATCTTAAATTACGGTTTTATGTAAATATTCAAAAACATTGAACCTATTGATGCCTCAATTAATGTAATTTCATTGGTATCTATTTTTATTTTGAAATTTATCACTAGCTGCTGCATTTCCCACCCTCAGCTTATACTCGAGTCAATACGTTTTCCCAGTTTTCTGTGGTAAAATTTAGGTGCCTCAGCTTATATTTGGGTCAGTTTGTATATCCATGAATATTGGAAAGTCAACATCGACACCGAAATACAACACCGTCTGAGCTCTGCGAGTGCAGCATTTTTCCAAATGAAGCAGTGAGTGTTTGAGGACCGGGACATCCGTAGGAATACCAAGGTGCTTGTCTATAAAGCTATTGTCCTCCCAACCCTGCTCTATGCCTGCGAAACGTGGACTGTCTACAGACGTCACATGCAACTCCTGGAACGATTCCATCAGCGCTGCCTCAGGAAAATCCTGCAAATCTCTTGGGAAGACAGGTGAACAAACATCAGCATGCTGGAAGAAGCAAAGACCACCAGCATCGAAGCAAGGTCCTCTGCCATCAACTCCGCTGGACCGGCCACGTTGTCCGGATGCCCGACCACCGTCTCCCAAAGCAGTTGCTCTACTCCGAACTCAAGTACGGAAAACAGAATGTTGGAGGACAGGAAAAAAGATTTAAAGACATGCTCAAAGCCAACCTTAAAAACTCTGGCATAGACACTGAGAACTGGGAAGCCCTGGCCCTTGAGCGCTCCAGCTGGAGGTCAGCTGTGACCAGCAGTGCTGCAGAATTTGAAGAGACATGAATGGAGGGTGAAAAAGAGAAATGTGCCAAGAGGAAGGCGCATCAAACCAACCCCGACCAAGACCGCCTCCCACCTGGAAACCAATGCCCTCACTGCGGGAGGAAATGCAGGTCAAGAATAGGGCTCCACAGCCACTTACGAACCCACCCCCCAGGACACCGAACTTGGAGGACCATCATCCTCGGACTACAAGGGATCGCCTAAGAAGAAGAAGACTTGAGTATATACAGTAGTTTGAAAACGCTTTGTCCAACAATGAACAAGACTGCGGTAAGATTTTATAAAGAAAAGACAAGTATCAAATGCAAGTTTTAGTTTATTAGTAGTAGCAAAGGTTATTAATAAAACCCTAAAGTGCGTTAGTCTCGTTAGTAAACGTTAAAATACTTTTCAAAACTTTTAAAGTTAAAACTGGATTTTCCCAGGTATTTCAAAAACCTTCACCTTGCAGGAAACCCCTCCCGATCTTGAATCAACTACAAACATGCATTTACATCGAAACAATCCATAGTTGACAAAAGAATATGGACCAGATCTGTAAAGTGCATCTGAATTAACATTAATGTCACATATGCTGATTTGCCATAATGACAAAAGTTGAGAGACATTCGAAATTCCAGGATTTCTTTAAGCTAACTTAAGGCCTGCTTGCATAGCAATTGCTTTGTTCCAAAAACGCGGCAGAGAATATCCATGCATATTGGAAACTAATGCGTGAAAACGAGTCGCAGAGTTGGTACAGGTGAGTAAAAAGGTAAAGGTTTCCCCTGACATTACGTCCAGACGTGTTTGACTCTGGGCGTTGGTGCTCATGTCACATTTGCATGTGAGGGGAACATTCATATAAAAATAATGTCTACATATAAAGTTCTATACGATTCTGGCCCAGCTTACTTATCCGAACACATCTGCCTCTACGTCCCATCCCGCAACCTAAGATCATCCGGGGAGGCCCTGCTCTCGCTTCCGTCAACTTCGCAAATGCGTTTGGCGGGGATGAGAGACAGGGCCTTCTCGGTTGTGGCCCCCCAGTCTATGGAATGCACTCCCAAATGAAATAAGATCGATTCCATCCCTCCTGGGCTTCAGAAAAAAATTAAAATAGTGGTTTTGGGACCAGGCCTTCGGACAGCAGACGTAATTTGCACCATAATGGATAATGGACATTGACTGGAATGGCGTTGTGGCAGATGACATTGTGACTGTGTTTTGTTGTTTTAATTAATGTTAGATGTATTGGTTTTAATGACTGTTTTATATTTGATTGTGTGATATTGTTGTAATTGATGCATCGGTCCTGTACCATTACTAATGTAAGCCGTCCTGAGTCCCCCTTCGAGGGTAGAAAAGAAATGGGGTATAAATGCCAGAAATAAATAAATAAATAAATAAATAAATAAATAATAATAATAATAATAATAATAATAATAATACAGAAATACAGGTACATAGAAATCCCTAGATATCCATATGTATATAAGATTTGCAAAGACCTGCGAACATGTGAGGGGAAAGTCATATATAAAATTTATGTATATAGATAAGACTGCAAACAGTCCAGAGTCCCCTTCAGGGTTGAGAAGGGTGGTATATAAATACCACAAATAAATAAATAAATAAGATAAATAAGATAAATACAGATAATATATAGGTAGGGTTGTTGTAGGTTTTTTTGGGCTATATGGCCATGTTCTAGAAGCATTCTCTCCTGACGTTTCGCCTGCATCTATGACAAGCATCCTCAGGATGCTTGCCATAGATGAAGGCGAAACGTCAGGAGAGAATGCTTCTAGAACATGGCCATACAGCCCGAAAAAACCTACAACAACCCAGTGATTCCAGCCATGAATTTTCAGGGATCTTCCTGACTTGCAAGGGCTTCTCTCCCCCTCCTTTCACTTTTTCAAAACATTCCAGCCTGGGAGGAGAAGCAGAGCAGAAGCAGAAAAGAAAACACACCTTTAAAGGAGGGGAAGATGAGAGAGAAATATATATATATCACGCAATGGCTTCCGGGGAGGCTTTTTCAGACCATAAAAAGGTCTGAAAAACTCAGATTATATTCGAGTATATACGGTAAATGTAATTTTTAATCAATTTTGGTCAAACTTGATAGTCAGACTTTGGCTGACAGCCTCAACTGTTTTGTAAAACAGTTGGTTTTGGTCTATTCTTTTATGGAACTGGATTGCTTGTTCCTGGATTAAAGAGGGCTGGACTGGGTGGACTTTGTGGGGTTTTTTTCAATTCTATGATAAATATGGAACAATTTTTATGGAACCCATTGTAGCTGCTATAGGTCAATCTTTAGTTTCACTTAAATCTCAGTGAGAGCATCCCTTATATCAATATCAACCCAAGCAATGCTGGATAATTTTCCTAATTTTGGTTGGATAAATTGCCTTAATTGTTCTGACTTCAACCTAACATCAGTTTATTTCCAGGCATTATTACAAATACAGTAGTTGAGATTCAGCCTATGTGTGAACCTGAGCCTGAATCTCTGATTGTATTGCCTATTGTTGATGCCAGTGTAGATGCTAATGTTGATGCTAATGTTATTGGGCCAAGTTTATTGGGCCAAGTTTGGATAGTGAGGCTGAAGTGATCAATGAGGATGAGGCTCAAGATAGAGACACTTTGGGCAGTAAAAATCCTACAGGCTTTGATTTAGAGGCTTCAAGGGAAAAGCCAAATTCTCATGAGAAACTTTCTGTCAGACTGAGAGAAGAAAATTCACTCCCTTTTCCTCCTGGCCCAAGCTTGCAAGATAACTTGACACCTGGTCAGGTCAATGATAACAGCCGCAGCTTGGAGTTAAGCCAGAACCGCAGGGAGGCTCAATGTTTACGTAGGTCCAAGCGAATCCGACAATTGAAACCAAAGATTAGAGTTAGCCGGAATCAGTTTTTGGGATTTAAGAATGCCTGTGAGGGGGATTTCCTCAGACCAAGCATAGTTTAGTATCAGTAACAAACCTCCTGGGTTTTCCAGTTTCCAGTGATCTGGTCTCTAAGGGAATTTCTGGCTTCAAGTGAGATTCGCAAGGGCTAATCTGTTCATGGATTTCTATTGAGTTTTCTGGACATTACTGCTTTGGATTTTCTGCAAGCTTTCTGGACATTGCTGTTTCATTTTGGCTTTTTTATCTTTGGACTTCAATCTATTTTATATTCATCATTCAATAAAAAGGATTCTATTTTTCCTAAACCAAGGTGTGGTGTATTAATGACAAAGGGGCCCTGTTTCCTGCTCTGGAGCGCAACAAGAGTGGCCTTTACTATCTATACCGCAAGTAGCTTTAGGCTCAGGGCAGCAATAGCACATTAGCAAACGCATGGGAAAGCAACGTCCTAAGAGATGTTCATACTAAAACATAAGCCCAAGTCCCCCCTCCCAAGTCTATCCCTTTGAAGAATTCATACATAATTATGTGCTAAACAGTGCCTGATACTTATGCTACTATTTATCTGCAAGAGTAACTTCCTAGAAACGTTAATTCTGCTCCTGCCTTTATTTATTTGTGCTTCCGATGTGGAGAGGGACGATGATGCTCGCCCACTTATGAATCACAGGGATAAATAGTGCCAGGGATCCAATGATTGAAACCAGAAGGAACGTCCATAAGAAGACGCGATCCAGCACTTGCGCTGTAAATTTCCAGTCCTCAACCACCTGGAGAGAGAACAGCAGAGAGAAAAGTCAGCCTCTTTCCTTCATTATGTTCAGATTTCCAACTATATACAGTAGAGTCTCGCTTATCCAACCTTCGCTCATCCAACGTCCTGTATTATCCAACGTAGTCCAGGGTAGGAGAAAGAAAGAACTCTTCTCTGTTTTGGGCCTACATTCATACAGTCATTACAACATAACGTTACCGTGTACTGAACTGCTTTGTTCTGTCAATTTGTTGTCAAACATGATGTTTTGGTGCTTAATTTGTAAAATCATAACATAATTTATATTATATATTTATATATAATTTATATTATGTAAATATATATTATATTTATATTATAAGCTGTTCCAGTATGCCTTCCCAGAATAAGGAAAACTCTCAGCAATATGCCCTCAGAATGCACTTTACTACTGGTTTAGGATTGACTGCACTCCCTCATCTCTCTTTGAAAACCCTATACCAGATATATCCTACCTTGTTCATGCCCAGCGTTTATTTTTTAATTTTTAAACTATTACATTTGGCCCGGCCATAGATTTTTAAATCCTTGTGTGTTACTGTTTATTGGTTATTGTTTATATGTGATTTATATTAATTGTATTGTGTTTATTGTTTTTGTTTATTGATGTACTGTTGGGCTTGGCTTCACATAAGCTGCTCCGAGTCCCTTGGGGAGATGGTGGCGGGGTATAAATAAAGTTTTTATTATTATTATTATTTATTATAACTAGCTGTAGGAGCCCCCGGTTAAACCCCTGTGCCGGCAGGACTGAAGACCGACAGGTCGCAGGTTCGAATCCAGGGAGAGGTGGATGAGCTCCCTCTATGAGCTCCAGCTCCTCATACGGGGACATGAGAGAAGCCTCCCACGAGGATGATAAAAACATCAAATCATCTGGGCGTCCCCTGGGCAATATCCTTGCAGACGGCCAATTCTCTCACACCAGAAGCGACTTGCAGTTTTTCAAGTCGCTCCTGACACGACAAAAAAAAAACTAGCTGTACCCGCCACACGTTGCCATGGCCAACCTTCCCTCCCTCTTCCTCTCCTCCTTTCTTTCTCTCCTTTCTTCCCTTTTTTTCTTTCCTTCTCTCCTTCCTTGCTTCTCTATCTCTTTTTTTCCTTCCCCTCCCTTTTTCTTTCTCTCCTTTCTTCCTTCTCTACCTTTTCCTGGATTGTAACTCCCAGCAGCCCTCCCGATTGGTCTATTTACCAACTATCTATCTCTATCTAATGATATATCTTATCTATCTGGAGGAATGCTGGGAGTTGCAGTCCAGGAAGAGAAAACAGGAAATATGTACGGATTGGGATGCTCTCAAAGAAATCCAAGGAGAAGCAAGCCTGTAGCATTGAAGCAGTGTATTTGGAGCATCCTCGTCCCCTAAAGGGCCTGGTCTAGGGGATGTTGGGAGCTGTCGTTTTCGCGCATGCGCTAAATTGTCATTTAGCTTTTGGGATTTTTTAAAGTCCTTTCCACTGTTTTTTGGGAGGGGTTTATGAGTGATGGTCACTCGTTGGTCTGTTAGGGATGTAGTGTCCAAATTTCGTGTCAATTCGTTCAGTGGTTTTTGAGTTATGTTAATCCCACAAACGAACATTGCATTTTTATTTATATAGATTATATATTTTATATTACATGTAATATTATTAATAATATTACAGTGTAATGGTATAGTACAATATAGTAATATATAATACTGATATTGTTCTATGCTAAGAATATAATATATTGTATGTGTGTGTGTGTATATATATAGATATATAATATTATATATATATATATATATATATATATATATATATATATATATATATATATAAAATATTGTATGTAATATATACCTTGTAAGCCGCTCTGAGTCCCCTTCGGGGTGAAAAGGGCAGCATATAAATGTCATAAATAAATAAATAGGCTTTTCCTTAATCCCGCCTTATGATCCAACATTTTTGCTTATCCAACGTTCCGCCAGCCTGTTTATGTTAGAAAAGCAAGACTCTACAGTATTCATCAGACTAAGCCAAATGTTAGCAACAGAACTATGTAAAGGTAAAGGTTTCCCCTGACATGAAGTCTAGTTGTGTCCGACTCTGGGGGTGGTGCGCACCTCCAATGGCTTTGCCACCAATGGACCAAAAATATTAATTTTTTCTGGACCTTGGAAGAAAAAACTCATTGGGAAAGATGCCTGTTTTTGGGAGAAGTGCTCGAAAACAAAAATGGGGCCTTACAAATGAAACAAACAGAATGGGTAGTGATTCTGTACAAATGCACAAGACTAATAAATAATGAACACCACTCAGAAACAGGAGAACTCCAGACAAAAGCAATAAAGGGCCAGTTAACACCTCCCTAACACATAATTTCATTTATTTATTTATTTATTGTAGTGTCAGGAGCGACCTGAGAAACTGCAAGACGCTTCTGGTGTGAGAGAATTGGCCGTCTGAAAGGATGTTGCCCAGGGGACGCCTGGATGATTTGATGTTTTTATCATCCTTGTGGGAGGCTTCTCTAATGTCCCCACAGGAAGAGCTGGAGCTGATAGAGGGAGCTCATCCACCTCTCCCCGGATTCGAACCTGCGACCTGTCGGTCTTCAGTCCTGCCGGTTTAACCCACTGCGCCACCGGGGACTCTCTAACACAAGATGCCTCCAGGCAACAAAGACCAGGCCACCTCTATGCAGATACCCCCACTGATTGTCTTTGCAAACTTCAGGGCTACTCAAATGTTAATTCAAGCTTGCTAACTGAAACATTCACACTTGGTTGTTGTAGGTTTTTCGGGCTATATGGCCATGTTCTAGAGGCATTCTTTCCTGATGTTTCACCTGCATCTATGGCAAGTATCCTCAGAGGTAGTGAGGTGAGGATGCTTGCTTGCCATAGATGCAGGCGAAACATCAGGAGAGAATGCCTCTAGAACATGGCCATATAGCCCGAAAAACCTACAACAACCCAATGATTCCAGCCATGAAAGCCTTCAACAATACATTATTCACACTTGCTTTAAATTCATCCCCCCCCCCTCGTGGGAAAACCTGCTTCCACAACCCCCCCCCTCCTATAATTAAGCTCTCCTCTGCAAATTACCTGCTTCTCTTCTTTATCTTGCCCGAGTTTTTAATTAGTTTTAATCAGTTTGTCTTTTAATCATTGCATGTAGCCACCCATCATTATTGTGCCTGTGCTTATTGTAATTTTTTTACATTGTTATGTATGCATATGTTTCTTGTTAATATGATGCTATTGTTTATTGTTTGCGTTTTCGGTTTGTGCTTTGGTTTTTTCTTTATTGTAATTGTTGTTTGGGCTTGGCCTCATGTAAGCCGCTCCGAGTCCCCATTGGGGAGATGGTGGCGGGGTATAAATAAAGATTATTATTATTATTATTATTATTATTATTATTATTATTATTATTATTCAAGGGTTCTTTCTCCCACCCTGGACATTCCATGGGTATATATACACTCCTCTTGCTTCACTGCCAATATATCCTCTGCACATGCCATTAGCCACAGATGCAGGCTAAACGGCAGGAGAGAATGTTGCTGGAACATGGCCAGACAGCCCAAAAAACTCACAGCAACCCAGTTGTCTCTGCTCTGCTTCCAGGTACGTAGATCTGAATACATCACGGCCAATACACACACCTCACGTACTTCATTCTCCTTGGCGATGTGCCTCGTAATGTATCGGATAGAGGTGAGAGCAGCTTCCAAGGTGTTCCTCGAGGACGGAGACCCATTGCCACTACAATTCCTCTCCTCCTCGTCCTCTGGAGCACAGTATCTGTCGACGTGGCTCCGCATGCAAAGCAGCTTGGGGAGTTTGTGCAGAAAGATCCTGCGGACCCACGGTGCCATGGCGCTGTGCGTGGAGGAAGAGCGGTGATGGACATTGATGGCGAAGACGGTGATGACAATGGACAGGGTCACAAAGATCATCGTAAACACCAAATACTCGCCGATCAGAGGTATGACTTTGGATGACGATGGTATGATTTCCTCGATGACGAGAAGGAAGACGGTCAAAGAGACCAGGACGGAGGTGCAGAGAGAGATCTTCTCCCCTTCGTAGGAGGGAAGGTAGAAGACGAGGATGGTCAAGAAGGACAGCCCAATGCACGGTATAATGAGGAACAGTGTGTAAAAGAGAGGCAAGCGCCTAATGATAAACGAGTAGGTGATGAACGGATACCAGCAGCACCCGTCGGTTCTATTCCCCCGAATGCCAGTCGCTGCGACTATTTCCCATTCTCCATTATCAAAGAAATCCCTCTTGTCGACTTCTTCGTCCACCAGAATTATATCAACCTGGGAGCCGTCGTAGGTCCAGGAGCCAAATTTCATGGAGCAGTTTTGGAGATCAAATGGAAAATAAGTCACATCGATGGTGCAGGAACTTTTGTAGTTCGCTGGCGGAGTCCAAGAGATAGTGCCATCATGTCTCACCACAGTTTTTGTAGAGGTTCCTTCGAAACGGCCATCTGCACTGAAAGAAAAAGTTACCAAATATGTAACGGGATGTTTCCAACAAATGACATACACTAGGAGCTTGCTCTTTATTATTATTATTATTATTATTATTATTATTATTATTATTATTATTTGTCAGGAAAATGGAAGTGGATAGTATTGTTGTCTGCAGGATTCAATCACTAATTATTATTATTATTATTATTATTATTATTATTATTATTATTAGTGATTGAATCCTGCAGACAACAATACTACCCACCCCCGTTTTCCTGACAAATAATAATAATAATAATAATAATAATAATAATAATAATAATAATAATAACAATAGATCCATCCTCAGCTGCTGCAAGAAGATCACGCAGACAGAGTACAAGCAGAGGCACAACACGGTTGCTCAGTTGATTCATTGGAACTTGTGCCACAAACACCATCTGCCTGCGACAAAGAACTCGTGGATCACAAACCGGAAAAAGTTACAGAGAATGAACAGGCCAAACTCCTCTGGGACTTCCAGATTCAGACAGACAGAATTTTGGAGCACAAGACTCCTGACCTCACAACCGTGTTAAAAAACAAAGTATGGATCATAGATGTTGCAATCCCAGGTGACAGCAGGATTGCAGAGAAACAACTGGAAAAGCTGACATGAGATGAGGATTTAAAAATCGAATTGCAAAGACTCTGGCACAAGCGAGTCAAGGTGGTCCCAGTGGTGATCAGCACACTGGGTGCAGTACCTAAAGACCCTGGCCTGCACTTAAACACAATTGGCGCTGACAAATAATAATAATAATAATAATAATAATAATAATAATAATAATAATAATAATACTGTTGTCGAAGGCTTTCATGGCCGGAATTGAAAGCCGGGTTGTTGTAGATTTTTTCAGGCTATGGCCATGTTCTAGAAGCATTTTCTCCTAACGTTTCACCTGCATCTATGGCATGCATCCTCAGAGGTAGTGAGGTGAGGTACCTCTGAGGATGCTTGCCATAGATGCAGGCGAAACGTCAGGAGAAAATGCCTCTAGAACATGGCCATATAGCCTGAAAAAACCTACAACTCAATAATAATATTTATTTATACCCCGCCACCATCTCCCCAATGGGGACTCGGAGCGGCTTACATGGGGCCAAGTCCGGACAACATATTACATCGAAATAAAACCAAAACATAAACAACAACCAACATCATCAAAATTACATTTAAAAAACCATATATGAATACAATAACAAAATTACATTACAATAAACACAGTTGCAGTAACAGTGGACGGGCCTCATGTACAGGATAAAATGCTGAAAACTCTAATGAGATAAAAATAGGAGCAGGTTATTTGCAGGGAACTCATAAAAACATACCAGGTTGTGAAACTAAACTTCCCATTAGGAGGGTATGTACTCCAGTGACAGAAGCATTAAGGGGGAGCAATAGTGTCATGCTGTGTACCTACTCACCAAAGGCGCAGCAGAAGAGCCAGGTTCTTTTTAAACCTTTCTAGTGTAGGGGCTTTCCTGATCTCTCCAGGTAAGGTGTTCCAGAGTCGGGGAGTCACAGAGGAGAAGGCTCTCTCCCTTGTGCTCACAAGACAAGCTTGTGAGATTGGCAGGGGCGAAAGGAGGGCCTCCCCCCAAAGATCGGAGGGACCAGGTTGGTTCATGGAGAGAGATACGGTCACAAAGGTAGGCCAGCTGCAAAAGGCCACCTTACTGGGATCTGCACCCATTATTCGCCGATACATCACACAGTCCTAGACACTTGGGAAGTGTCTGATGTGCGATCCAATACAACAGCCAGAAGAGTGACCTTGTTTGCTGTGGACTCATCTTGTTGTGTTTCAAATAATAATAATAATCATCATCATCATCATCAACTTTATTTGTCCTATGTCCCTAAAGGGACTCACGGCAATTTTCAACATGTAAGGCAAAACATTCAATTGCTGGAAAGAAACCAATTACACCAAAATAAACACATTCGATAATATAACACAACCTATAGTAGTCTTACTTATCCAACCTTTGCTTATCCGACATTCCATCTTATCTGACACTCTTATCCGACACCCCTTTCCTCCAGCATTTCCCCTTCAATTTTTTTTTTAATTTTTCGTGTCAGGAGCGACTTGAGAAACTGCAAGTCGCTTCTGGTGTGAGAGAATTGGCCGTCTGCAAGGACGTTGCCCAGGGGACGCCCGGATGTTTTGATGTTTTGCCATCCTTGTGGGATGCTTCTCTCATGTCCCTGCATGGGAAGCTGGAGCTGACAGAGGGAGCTCATCCACGCTATCCCCGGATTCAAACCTCTGGCCTGTGGGTCTTCAGTCCTGCTGCCACAAGGGTTTAACCCATTGTACCACTGGGGGCTCCCCTTCAATTAAAGGAGAGAATTTCCCCAACTTTCTCACCATTCATAATGGCTTCTTGAGGTACGGTCGCAGCTGGCGCACAAGCTTTAACTGTGCAAAGGACCTCCCGGCCACACCTGAGCATCAGTGCTGAATCCAGGAGGACCCCCAAACTGCAGACTTGTGTCCTTGGGGGGAGTGACCCCAATCGGCCTCACGACTGACCAGGAGAACCTCTTGTCTGGATCAAGCTTCAACTTGTATATTCAATTTGGTTAAAATGGTTAAAAATAGGGGATTAAATGGGATTTCATTTAACAGCATTGCGGATGTTAGAGATGCCAGGTTCATCCTCAATAACAGACTAAAATCTTTAAAACCTTTTAGTGTCATATCCATTTTTTTTAAAGTCTGATTTCTAAAAATAATGAAAGTACATATCTTGAATGAAAACAACTATCACAAAACACTGAACACTTACTTGTCATACAAAACGATGTCAGGGATCCATATGGAATCAGAAGGAACACGGATAGACGTGATTCCAGCATAGTCTTTGGGGTCCCACTTCAGCTTTACATCAACCCATTCCTACAACAAGATAATCTTTTTTTAAATATCCTCATTTTTCAACTGTTGACTTAGTATAAAAAAACAACCTGTGATTTGTATAACACTTGCTGACCAAAAGGTCGGCGATGTGAATCTGGGGAGCGGGGTGAGCTCCCGCTGTTAGCCCCAGCTTCTGCCAACCTAGTCGTTTGAAAAAAATGCAAATGTGAGTAGATCAATAGGTACCACTCCGGTGGGAAGGTAACAGCACTCCATGCAGTCATGCTGGCCACATAATCTTGGAGGTACCTACGGACAATGCCAGTTCTTCAGCTTAGAAATTGAGTTGAGCATCAGAGTCCCAGAGTTGGACACGAATAGACTTAATGTCAAGGGGGAAACCTTTACCTTTTTACCTTGCCAAAATTATTCATTATTTAAATTGCTAATTACTATTTGTAGCGAATTTGTTGATCTATGTTAAATTTTTGATGTATAGCTCTATGTTGCAATGTGGCAGAATTGGCAGAAATAGGGTAGCAACAGTAGAGGCAAGATAAATTTGCATACGTGCAGCCGATTGGTTGTATGCAGATGAGTGTAGGCCAGGATTTGAAAGGGCCGCTGAGCCAGAATGGCAGTTGGGGAGAAGAGAGCTGAACATTCCAAAGGGGCGGAGTTAAGTTTAAAAAGAGGCAGTTAGAGAGTCAGAAGAAGTCAGTTAGGGATTCCTGTTTGTGAAGGACAGTTAGGAACTCCTGTGAGAGAAAAGCAGTTAGGAAAATGGAGCTTAAGTTTTAAGGAAAATAAAGAAGTGCCAGTGTGGTTTAAGGTGGAATATAGTTCTGTCAAGAGTGTATGAAAAAGTAATAGTTGTTGATGTGAAACAGTTGAAGTTTGATAGGAAAGTTAACTAAGTGAATGATATTGAATGTAAGACTCAAGACTGTAACAGAACAAACAAATGTAACCATAAGTGTTGGAGCCAGAAGCTATAAATACACTTTGTTACTTTGTTTACTACAAGAGTGTCTCAAGCCTGTAATATAAAAGCCTCAGCGTAAAAGCTCACAAGACAGCCCCAGCCAATTTAAAAAGGGGAAAATACATCAATACAAGGCAGTAAAAAGATTTAAAAGAAAATATTTTTCCCCTCACATCGTCACACATAAAAATACACATGTAAAAGGACTGAAGTAGTGAAAAGGCGTCCCACTATTATTTAAAAATCATTACACAAATTCAGCAGCAACAGAACACAAAAAGAACTTTTTTTGGAAACTTTTAGACTATAGGTTATTTTCTATATGTGAGTTATATTAATTATATTGCTTTATTTGCTTATTGCTTTGTTGTTTACTGGTGTGTTTTTGGGCTTGGCCTCATGCAAGCTGCCCCGAGTCCCCTGGCGAGATGGTGACAGGGTATAAACAAAGTTTTATTATTATTATTATTATTATTATTATTATTATTATTATTAAGACTTTGCAAAACCCAAGAAAAGTGATACAAGAGTCTCTGTCATTGCTTCCAATATCAACAAATTACAATTATTTTCTAGAAAGATTAAACAATTTGGTCAGATAATCCCTTCCATTATCACTTTTGCAGCCTCACTATATGGAAGCAAGCATTTCTTGAGATAATAATAATAATAATAATCCTTTATTTGTACCCCGCTACCATCTCCCGAAGGACGGTGCAGCTTACAAGAGGCCAAGCCCAAATACAACAATAAAAACAGCAGCAGCAACAAGACAATAACTCAAAAAAAACAACAAAGCAGTAACATTAACAACACCCAATGACGCAATTAAAAACAATGGCCGAGCCAAATGTAATAATAAAAATTAAAATTAAGATCGGTTGTCCCTTAATTCATGCACCAACTACAATATGTGGTAACCCTGTTACAGTACAGAAGTACGGTCTGCCCAGTTCAGTGGGCTTTACATCCATGTAAATGCAGATAGGAACAGCAGCCTGAACATAGCAAGCTGGATGCTCTTTTTTCTCCAAATAAATTTTTATTGATTTTACCGTAAAAGAATATAACAAACATAACCAACATCAAATATAAAAAGTAAAAAAACAAAGAAAAAAGATAAAGAAGGCCATGTCCCCACCATTCCCCTTACCCATTTTCACCTACTACACTTTGGGTTAGGAGAAAGAGAAAAAAAGAGAGAGAGAAAAGAGATAAAGTAAAAACATTTAAAATTTTGACTTCCGCTCTTCTTCCTTTGCTAGTTTTTGTCATGTTCCCTCTTCTCCTCTCAAAAACATTAAGAGAGGAGAGGGGAAAAAATATGTTCGTAAAAAAAGAAGAAAAAAACAAGCTGGATACTCTTAAATTACTGCATTGAAACCCAGTTATCTAATCACATCTCCCCGCATAATAGAAAGTGATTGCTCATTTTGTTTGTCATGTATTAAGCTTACCTGCCTCAACCAAACATTTGTGGTCATCAGCTGATTTTTCTCATCCTGTTGGAAAAGAAAAGCGACATGTAGGATACATGACTTACAAGCTTTTCTCTGCTCTCAACAACGATTGGAAACATACAGCATCCTTTCTATAACTATCTTAAGGAAGACATAGACCACTAATTTAGTATGTTACTAGCGGTCCCCTGCCATGCGTTGCTGTGGCCCAGTCTGGTGATCTGGAAAATAAAGTAATGAGAAAGTGTTGGTTTCTAATATAGGTAATGTCTTTCTGCTTGTGGGGAAACAGTATTTTTTGCTGTTTCTTTGCCAGTGTTGATGTGGAGATTGTCTGGTTTGCCTGCTCTGGGACATGCAACATATCATCGCCCTTTCACATCTTTGATACTGCATCTGTCATATACATGTGTGTGTGTGTGTGAATGGCTGGATGGCTCTTTGTCAGGAGGGCTTTGATTATGGTTTCTTGCCCTGGTGAAGGGAGTTGGACTGGATTTCTGAACTTGGAAAGTCAAGACCCCCGGGGGGGGTCACTGGGGGGGGTCACAAGGGTCACCCAAGACCACCAGAAAACACAATATTTTCTGTTGGTCATGGGGGTTCTGTGTGGAATGTTTGGCCCCATTCCATCATTGGTGGGGTTCGGAATGCTCTTTGATTGTAGGTGAACTATACATCCTAGTAACTACAACTCCTAAATGTCAAGGTCTATTTCCCCCAAACTCCATCTGTGTTCACATTTGGGCATATTGCGTATCCATGCCAAGTTTGGTCCAGATCCATCAATGTTTGAGTCCACAATGTTCTCCGGATGGAGGTGAACTACAACTCCCAAACTCAAGGTCAATGCCCACCAAACTCTTCCAGTATTTTCTGTTGGTCATGGAGGTTCTGTGTGTGAAGTTTGACCCAGTTCTATCATTGGTGAGATTCAGAATGCTCTTTGATTATAGGTGAACTATAAATCCCAGCAACTACAACTCCCAAATGACAAAATTAGCTATTTTATTTCGTATCCAAAGCATTGCATAAATAAGTATAAAACTGAAAATGCTAATGTTTACCATCATTCTAATGCTTACCATCTGTCTTGCCGAGTTGCCTGCAATAATTGGATTAGATAAATGTTATAAAAATATGTTTATTTTGTGATGAATTGCAGTAGCATTCATTCCCTTAGCATTTAGGCCAGGGGTTCTCAATCTGTGGGTCCCTCCCCAGGTGTTTTGGTCTACAAATTCCAGAAATCCCAGCCAGTTTACCAGCCGTTAGGATTTCTGGGAGTTGAAGTCCAAACTGCCTGGGGAGCCACAGGTTGAGAACCACTGGTTTAGGTATTTATTTATTTATGTATTTATTTATTTATTTACAGTATTTACATTCCGCCCTTCTCACCCCGCAGGGGACTCAGGGCAGATTACAATGTACATATACATGGCAAATATTCAATGCCATAGACCAGGGGTCCCCAAACTAAGGCCCAGGGACCGGATGTGGCCCTCCAAGGTCATTTACCCGGCCCTCGCTCAGTCTGAAACAACCTGAAAGCACACAACAACAACAACAACCCTATCTCATCAGCCAAAAGCAGGCCCACACTTCCCATTGAAATACTAATAAGTTAATATTTGTTAAAATTGTTCTTCATTTTAATTATTGTATTGTTTTTAATTGTTTTTTGCACTACAAATAAGATATGTGCACTGTGCATAGGAATTCATTCATGCTTTTTTCAAATTATAATCTGGCCCTCCAACAGTTTGAGGGGCTGTGACCTGGCCCTCTGTTTAAAATGTTTGTGGATCCCTGCCATAGACACACAACATATATAGACAGACACTCAGAGGCTATTTAATATTCCAGCCTTTCTTGAGGGTATTCTGTCCACCAGGGGAGCTGTTGCTTCACCGTCCATTTGTGACACTGATGAAGTACTTCCTCATTCTTTGCATGCTTGCTGGAGATTATTATGGCCTCATAAATTAGTTAAATTTGCCTCCCCACATAAGTGGTACCTAAATTTCCTACTTGACAGATGCAACTGTCTTTCAGGCTGCAAAGGTCGACAGCAAGCTACACAAATTGGTTGGACACTCACTCCGACCCAGGCTGGCTTTGAACTCATGACCTTTTGGTCAGTAGTGATCTTAATGCAGCTGACTCCAAGCCAGCTGTGCCACAGTCCCGGTGCCACAGTCCTGATATTGCTCCTTCTCCTTACATACATCTCCTCCATCAGCCTTTTCCATCAACATCTTTTCCATATGATAAAGAGGCTCCATTTCACACCCTTCACAATATTTGCCTCCCATAGCTAACTATATTGTGCAAAATAGCAACATAGCAGCAGTCTTTAAACATACCACATCCACCAACTGGGAAATAGCAAGGCCAAATTTCACTCTGATGGTATCGTTCAAGCGCTCCACCGGACGTACCCATCTTTCATAGTCTTCAAATAGGTACTTAAATAAGCGGTCTTCACTCTTAGCAATGAAAGAAGGTTCGGATGTACCTGTGAAAAAAAAGCAAGTTTGAGAACACTGGTACCTATAAAACACACAATTTATTATCTATTATATCTTCTATATATTAGTACCTGCACTACAAAAGGGATATTGAGGCATCTAGAAAGTACTTAATTCCATCAGCCTTGCCTTCAAAAAATCCTACAAATCTCTTGGGAAAACAGATGGACAAATGTCAGCGTGCTGGAAGAAGTAAAGATCACCAGCACTGAAGCCATGCTCCTCCGCCATCAACTCCGCTGGACCGGTCACATTGTCCGGATGCCCAATCACCGTCTCCCAAAGCAGTTACTCTACTCCCAACTCAAGTATAGAAAACGGAAGGTTGGTGGACAAGAAAAGTGATTTAAAGATGGGCTTAATGCTAACTGTGGCATAGACACCAACAACTGGGAAGACCTGGCCCTTGAGCACTCTGATTGGAGGTCAGCTGTGACCAGCAGTGCTGAGGAATTCCAAGAAGCATGAATGGAGGGTGAGAGGGAGAAACGTGTCAAGAGGAATGCATGTGAAGTCAACCCCGACCGGGACCGGGAGAAACATACACAGCCTGAGATCGTATATATAACTAGCTGTACCCACCATGCGTTGCTGTAGCCAACCTTCCCTCCCTCTTTCTCTCCTTCCTTCCTTTTTTTTCCTTTCCTTCCTTTCTTCTCTTCCTCTTACCTTCCTTCCCCCCTTTTCTTTTCCTTCCTTTTTCTTTCCTTTCTTCCTTCTCTACCTATTATTGGCCTGCAACTCCAGGCACTTCTTCTGATCGATTTACCTACCTACCTACCTACCTACCTACCTACCTACCTACCTCTATCTAATTTATCTATCTGGAGGGCTTCTGGGAGTTGCAGTCCCGGAACAGGAAACTATATCTATCTATCTATATCTATGGCTGGATGGCTCTTTGATTACGTTTTCTTGCCCCAGTGAAGAGAATTGGATTGGATGGCCTTAAGTGTTTTCTGTTGGTCATGGGGATTCAGTGTGGGAGGTTTGCCCCAGTTCTGTCATTGGTGGGGTTCTTTGATTGTAGGTGAACTATAAATCCCAGTAACAACAACTCCCAAATGTCATTGTCTATTTCCCCCAAACTCCATCTGTGTTCATATTTGGGCATATGGAATATTCATGCCACGTTTGGTCCAGATCCATCATTGTTTGAGTCCATGGTAGTCTCTGGGTGTAGGTGAGCTACAACTCCCAAACTCAAGGTCAATGCCCACCAAACCCTTCCAGTATTTTCTGTTGGTCATGGGAGTTCTGTGTGCCAAGTTTGGTTCAATTCCATCGTTGATGGAGTTCAGAATGCTCTTTGATTGCAGATGAACTATAAATCCCAGCAACTACAACTCCCAAATGACAAAATCATAATTTTTTGAGTGATGGTCACTCCTTGTGTTGTGAGATGTTTTGTTGCCAAATTTGGTGTGATTTCGTTCATTGGTTCTTTTGTTTTTAAGATACTAATTATGCACAGAGCATTTATATATATATAGATGAGGATATAATGATCAGGAGCATGAAACTCGTATGGTTCATAACTTCTTATTAACACATGCCGATTTTGGAACATACTTTGTGCTACTAAAATGGTAGAAGAAACAGCAGCAGACACAAAAAGGGTGGATTGCTGCTGACGGAACGTAAGTTTGGCTTTCATGCAACATCTATCATGGAAGAAGAAAGGGGTATTTACGTAAACACCAGCAGCCTATAGCCAAGGATATATTTGTCGGGTGGATTTTGCAAGCTTAACAATGAACCAGGAGGAAATGGAAGCATGACTCGGTTACTTAAAGAGCGCAATTCAGCATGTATATGGCATGCCCTATTATAGCACCTCCTCCCTCTCTGTCCGCTGGCTCCCTCGGATTAAGAGCTTAACGGAGCAGAGAAATGATCCCTTCTGAATCATTTGGAAAGTGTCTGACATTGTGTAGACATCAGTGTAGGTGAGGATAATTACTCAAGCGGCGGCCTCACAAGCTATCTGGCAAAGTCACTGTCAATAACAGGCAACGCTCCAGGCAACGCTCATCTAACGTGTCGGGTTTGAAAGGGTCCCCTTGTGGGTTTTACCAACCATCTGTTCAGGGGAGAAGAAATTATGCTAAGTGATCCGATATTCCGAAATAAGCCCTGCCTGAGCCCAAGCACGCATAGAACATTCCAAAGCAATATTTATTTATTCATTCATTCATTTATTTATTTATTTTGCTTATATACCGCTGTATCTCAAGCCCGAAGGCGACTCACAGCGGTTCACAAACAGTAAAAACAGTAGAAACAGCAGTGGTTCCATACAACATATAACAATTGACTTAACACATTATCCATAAATTACCAATAAGCAATTACAATGCACAATTATTACAAAAAACAACCGTACCCAATCTTCTCATCATCCAAGCGTAGTCCAGGTTCGTCGTCCATTGTTCCATTCCTATGTTCCATTACCAGATTGCACTAAATTACTCAAACGCCTGCACAAACATCCAGGTCTTCACCTTTTTGCGGAATACCATTAGAGATGGTGCTAGTCTAATGTCCGTAGGAAGGGCATTCCACAGCCGAGGAGCCACCACCGAGAAGGCCCTATCTCTCGTCCCCGCCAGCCGAGCTTGAGAAGCAGGCGGGATCAAGAGCAGGGTCTCCCCGGAAGATCTCAAAGTCCTGGTGGGTTCATAGGCAGAGATACAATGTAAATCTCCGGTCCAGCGTACCTGTCCGAACGTATCTCCTTCTACATCCCATCTCGGAGTTTAAGATCTTCTGGGGAGGCCCTGCTCTCGGCCCCGCCTCTGTCTCAAACACGTTTGGTGGAGACGAGGGACAGGGCCTTCTTGGTGGTGGCCCCCGCCTGTGGAATTCACTTCCCGGGGAAATTAGATCATCGTCATCATCCCTCCTCACTTTTAGAAAGAAGGTAAAAACATGGATGTGGGACCAGGCCTTTGTGCAATTAGGTTAAAAGGACAATTGACAATGTTGACTATGGCTTGGAAGTCGATTTATTTTTTTTATTTTTTGTCGCGTCTGGAGCCCCCGGTGACGCAAGGACTGAAGACCGACAGGTCACAGGTTTGAATTTGGGGAGAGCGTAGATGAGCTCCCTCTGTCAGCTCCAGCTCCCCATGCAGGGACATGAGAGAACCCTCACAAGAATGGTAAAACATCAAAAACATCCAAGCGTCCCCTGGGCAACGTCTTTGCAGACGGCCAATTCTCTCACACCAGAAGCGACTTCGAAGTGGATTATGGATAAGTTCAACGCAGTACTCAATCAAAGTATACAGCTATTTAAATAGCCACCAGACTGATAATAGCTCAGTGGACTGTAAGTATACTGTTTTAAATCTTTATGTCTTTATGTTTATGCTTTTAACTGTTATAATTGCTGTTTTGTATTTTATTATGCGGCATCGAATTGTTGCCAATTCAAGTTGCCCTGAGTCCCCCCCCCCCGAGGTTGAGAAGAGGGGGGTAAAGTGTTCTAAATAAATAAATAAATAAACAGGAATGCTCCAGAAGAACTGGATTTTCTGACCATACCCAAAACCAGAATGAGCTGATGAAAGGAGAAAAGGCATGAAGAGGCCAAGGGTAATGAAACATGCACCTGCACTCTCCAAGTAATGCTGCTTGACACGCCTATGGCTCGATGCTACAGGATCGGGAGAGTTGTACTTTTACAAGGTCTCCAGCCTGTTCAGACAAAGCATGCTAGTGCATCACCAAACTGCAACTCCCAGGATTTCGCAGCATCAGGCCAAGGCAGTTCAAGCAGGGTGAAAAATGTGTTAATTCGACAGTGAAGATTCATCCAAAAAGTTGCATGAAAAAAGCTCAGAAACAAGAACAAAACAAAAGAAAAAAGAATTGCGAAAGTAAAGAAAGATGGTTACAATGCATATTAGTCGAAGGTTTTCATGGCCGGAATCACTGGGTTGTTGTAGGTTTTTTCGGGCTATATGGCCATGTTCTAGAGGCATTCTCTCCTGATGTTTCGCCTGCATCTATGGCAAGCATCCTCAGAGGTATGCTTGCCATAGATGCAGGCGCAAAGTCAGGAGAGAATGCCTCGAGAACATGGTCATATAGCCCCCCCCCAAAAAAAACTATATAGCCCGAAAAAACCTACAACAACCCAATGCATATTAGTATTATACGTGAGTTATTAATTACATAGATTTATGGACAGAAATTGCAGGTATGTGCCTTCAAGCCATTTTTTGATTTATGGAAGCGGGATGGCAATCTTCTCTTTGCTAACTTTGCTCTGAGAGGGGTTGCCTGCCTGCCTGCCTTTTTCTTTTTTTCTTTTCTTTCCTTTCCTTTCCTTCCTTTCTCTGAGACAGTGGTTCTTAACTTTCCTAATGCTGAAACCCCTTAATACAGGTCCTCGTGTGGTGGTGAGCCCCAACCAAAACATCATTTTTGTTGCTACTTCATAACTTTCATTTTGCTCCTGTTATGAATTGTAATATAAATATCTGATATGCAGGATGCATTTTCATTCACTGGACCAAACTTGGCACAAATACCCGATATGCCCAAATCTGAATTCTGGTGGGGTTGAGATTGATTTTGCCATTTGGGAGTTGTAGTTGCTGGGATTTACAGTTCACCTACAATCAAAGAGCATTCTGAACCCCACCAATGATGGAATTGAATCAATCACGGCACACAGAACTCCCATGACCAAGAGGAAATATTGGAAGGATTTCATGGGCATTTACCTTGAGTTTGGGAGTTGTTCACTTACATCCAGAGAGCACTGTGGATTCAAACAATGATGGATCTGGACCAAACTTGGAACGGATACTCAATATGCCCAAATGTGAACAGTGGTGGAGTTAGGGGAAAATAGATCTTGACATTTGGGGTTGTAGTTACTGGGATTTATAGTTCATCTACAATCAAAGAGCATTCTGAAACCCACCAATGATAGAATTGGGCCAAACTTCCCACGCAGAACCCCCATAACCAA